ACACTTTGCTGAAAAACAAAACAATTCGTTGCAAAATAACTCTAACGCAAAACTCTACGAACTTATGTTACAACCCAATATTATGCCCAACGTATTTTGCCCTTTATCAGTCCCTTTTTTGAACGCATACGCACTCGATTTCCGTTGCAGAACTGAAATTTCCGTCTGAAGTTACAATGCATTATATCATTTTATCACTTGTTGCAATCATATTATAGGCACAGTTCACGATAATTCTGAGGTACCTAGCCTAAATGAAATAATGAATGTTATGGCGCAGAATAATGCAAAAGGGATAAGTGAGCGCAGAACTCGGCGGATTTCAAGAATTCCTAAGCATCAAAATGCTAGTATGAAAGGGGGTTGTGCGAGATCATGTTTCCTTTATAGTATGGGTGGCTTTCACATAAGCGCACTATTTTGACGTTCTAAAGCTGAAATAGTGAATGATACAGCCTCAACAAGGGCGCCATAACATGGCCACGTTTGGGTGTGTGCGACAGCCGAGCCGGTTATGAAGCTGGTATACCGCCTTGTCGGGTCGTTTTTCGACCGGACAATGTCTCGCCGGCTATCCTTGGAGCCCATAGGTTCTTCTCGGATAGAAATCCTGGAAGTCTTTTTCATCGTAAACTGTACCCTTTCAAGGGACTACTCTCAAATCAATTCCTTCAATGTCTCTTCATATATGATTCCACTTCCCTTCCTAGCCTCCACCTGCACGTTCTAGTCTCTGATCTCTTCTTCCTCTGCAGATCCCTTCCTAGCTCACAATCAGCATGGATAGAGCTCTTAGAACAGTAACTCTCAAATGTTCAAAGTGATCTTCTGGATGTAATCTCTTCCTTTTCAGAGTGTGGTGTGGAGCCGTGAAACATTATTCGACTACCTTGCCGATCCGAAAAAATACATTCCTGGCACAAAGATGTCCTTTATAGGGATAAAGAAACCACATGATCGTGCCGATCTCATCAAATACATGGAGGTCGAATCTGCCAAACCTATCAACCCTCCGAACCCAACTACGTAGAGTATGAAGCTATGAGAGTATTACTATTATCGTAAAGTTTTTCTGAATAAAGGCGAAAAAGTTTGAGATCACGCTTGATCAACGAGATTCCTTCCGGTTTTGTGGATGCCGATTCTATGAAAATCAGTTTCCTAAGATATCAATTTTCATAAGTAAATAAATAGGGAAACTTCATATCTCTCGACGTCAATCAATAACACTTCTGGGATGCGCCCACAGTCCAATTCCATTCAGAATCGTAGTGGCGTTTGAATGTGCATGCCGCCTAAACAATGACTTGGAACGGCCAGCCGATTAACAAGTCAACTCTTTTATGCTCCCGACGAGTATGGTACCAATCAGGTGACCCTGGAGGCATGACAGGCTTGTTGGAAGTGGATGGATACCGTTCCGGGATTTTTTGTCCATTCGATTCTGTATAATAGTGGGCCACGTTCCACTAGATCACCTTCACCCACTTTACAATCCCTCCGGAAAAGTTTGTTGGAAAGGCTTTCTTCAGAAAGTGACCGGTTCTCTAATAACTGGTAGACAAAGGATTGAATCAATTCAATATTCGCAAAGCCTAGGAGCACCGAGCTTTCCATAATTGGTCTGGGGACAGATACCTGGCAACGGATTGGCCTGGGGAAATCAGAGTACTGTCTGGAACATCGGCTGTATATCGCAAACTATTTTGCTTACTAACTAAGAGTTTAGGAACCCTTATGATTCCATTTGCACGTCTAATGAGTGAACTCATCTATGAATGGGATTGTCCTACATTAGAAAAATTTATTCCTTTTTTAATTCTTATAACATAAAAGCATAGCTCACGATATTTTCGGCGTCTTATATCTATTTTAGAAGAATAGTGGGAGTTATAGTCGAAAAAAACAGCTGCATGGAAGGGGCATTCGGACGAGCTGTTCGAATGCGCGCGTCACTGCATATAGCTGGCTGCAATACGCTGCCTGCACGCAAGGTGTGGGTCGCGCTGCGAATGACGCAACCTCTACAGCTACTACAACGCTTAACAACTCGTTTGGCTTAGGTGTGAACGTCGGATAAGCCGGTTCTAGGACCCTTGGCACACCCTACCAAAGCCGTTTTTCGGCCGATAGGGTTAGCGTCTATTAGGCTATACGCGGGAGTCGCAGGTCCACCCTCGGGAGGAATTCCAGAAACCATTGTTATCGTGAACTATGCGTTCAACTTTACTATTTCTGAACTATACCGATCAGCCGGTGAATCCATCTCAAGCCATTGCATTAGATGTAGAACATGAACACTGAACTACCTGTAACCAATTCAGGATTTGTTTGCGGTAAGTATCGACCAACCAACCATCCGCGACTTATCTCACGCATAAAGGTATTTTGTTTAGGAAACTGATATGACGACCCTTTATAAGCTTGGTTCTGGTAGGTTTAGTTCAGTTTTATTCATATAATTTCATGGGTAAAAGTAAAAAGTCTGAAGAAGGTATTCCAGAAGGCGACTACGAGAAAGGGAAGAAGGTCAGTTCACGTCCTTCCGTCTTCTCCGAGTTTCTCTTTCTGATGCCTGTTCCAGATTTTCAAGCAACGATGCTTACAATGTCATGCAATTGATTCGATGGCGTCTAAGACAGGTCCCAGCCTGAACGGATTGATTGGAAGGGAATCTGGTGGCGTAGAAGGTTTTTCATATTCGGAAGCTAACAAGAAGAAGGTAGGTAGGAGGGGCTTGTTGAAGAAAAAGAAACTGTATGAATGGGCCTTCTTACAGGGGGTAATATGGACACGGGAGACACTGTTCGACTATTTGGCTGATCCAAAGAAATACATTCCGGGTACAAAGATGGTGTTTCCCGGTTTGAAGAAGCCAAAAGAACGTGCCGATCTCATCAAATACATCGAAGTCGAAAGTGCCAAAAAGCCATCGTAAATATTAATGAAAATAAAGCTACACGATTGTTTGACATTTTAAGGACCTCTTCAGTTGTTTTGCTTTGTATCACCTGTACCACTTTGTTACCACAAAAGAACTGTTTACCATAAATTGTGTGGACCAGAAGAAAACCCACTCATACAGAATGTATCCGGAAGACAGTCAAATAGTCAATGAGACGACCTTCTACACTTGCCCCTCATAGTGGTACCGTAAGCTTATGGGGAGAAGTCCGCCATATCTGTCGCTCCGATGGGCAAACAAGACGGATCTCAAAGTCCCGCGAATGTGTTACACAGTAACCCGAAGACACACTCAAGCGCCTCCAAACACCCGTCACATATACGACACAACAAAAAGGTACCCTGAATGAAGCCCACGGGTTAGTTGATGTGGCACTCGGGGGTTACTGTATCACACTTTCACGAGACGTTGAAATCCCTTCATAGCTGGGCAATGCTTACACACAAGATCACAGAATGAAAAAGATAGACGCAGCTGCACATGAAGTAGATCCTAGGTAAAAATTCTAACTACCGACCTACATCAGTATTGAACTGATGGAAAGTCTTTCATAGTAGACTTAATCCAAGAAAAATTTGATAGTCAGAGGGAAGCCGAATCTGAGGAGAGCAATGTGAGAGCGCAAATAGATTTAGAGCGCAGAAGTGCATACATACTACTTAGACAATTCGTTAAAAAATATTTATATGTCATTAGAAGTTGCTCCTGTCGCTAGGGCGTAATACACCCACCCAGTGCGAATGTGCAAACCATTTCGAAAATCACTTGATAAGAAAAGTTGCACTAAATTGAATCGCCTGACCTATTCTCTTGGGGGAAATCATACTCATGCAGTGACTTTTGAAAACACTCACCATTTCGGGTAATTTGGATATGTCGGTTTGGTCTAGGAAAATTGAACCACCATTGCTTGTCTTGAAGGTGATATTCTTCCCTCGACCGGCATGGAACCACATGTTACCGTCGACCATCAGAAGACGTGACCTTAAAACAGGACTTTGCTCTGGAATTAACTTGCTCCCACATTCTTCTTTGCAAATTTTACTTAGTGGTTTAACTGATGATAAGAGAATATTTTTTTCGTGGGTCACTTCACAGCGGCTTTTAATTTAGGAAAATTACGAACTTTGGTAGCCGTTTAGTGTAACTTTTGTTCCCAAAACTGTACTTTATATGTATAATTCGCCTGTCCGCATCGTTTATTATAAAAGGATAAAGTTTCTAGCGTTGAATAGTTTCCAACTTCTCTCTTGCTTTAACCTCGGCATAGTTGTTTATGCTTGAGATTATTTTGTGCCGTACGAGGTTGTTAGGTGGAACAGATAACTTTAAATAAAGTGCACGATATTAGCACAGGAGACGGAGATTTCAGCGAGAAAGGCACTAGAGGCGTTTTGGATTTTCCAAAGAAGTCCTAAAATGAACAGCAGAGATGAGTGCCCATCTATAACAAACGATCTTTTGCCATACATACCGCACTGCGACTTATGACTCAGTAGCATTATGACGTGATCTTCCTTATCACAA